CTCGGGTATCCATAAAGGATTTCCACACGTAAAAAAAAAGATACGATCAATATAAATCTTTGATGTTGCACTAATAATGTTAACAGATTTCGTCACACGATTTAGAAATATTAAGTATAAACGCCAGATTTCCGGGAAGTGTTCATGACAGTTTTATTTGGAAAAATTCTGCCGTAAGAGACGAAATGATACGTTTATATAATTCTGGAGATCGATCAACGTGGCTTTTGGGTTAGTGTCAAAATTCTTTATTTATTATTTTATTTATTATATATAATGTTACTTTATATTGATGTATATTAAAAAATGTTTGATAGGCGATTCAGGTTACGGCTTGGAACCTTGGCTGATGACACCGATTACAAATGCCCCAGAAGGAAGTGCAGAAGCACAGTATACACAATGCCATTCATCTACCAGAAATTGTATTGAAAGAACGTTTGGAGTGTTAAAGAACACATGGAGATGTCTTCTTAAACATCGTGTGCTACATTATAAACCTATTGTAGTATCAAACATAGTCATAACTTGTGCTGTACTTCACAATATCAGACTCCATTATAAACTTATGAATAGAGATTTCGATATCGATGAAGAGGGTGAGGCTGAAGCTATACGAAGAGCCATGCTTCCAGAGAATCTCGAAGCATGTAATCGTGTTAGATTACAGGCACAAGAAATAATTGACATTCATGATATGCACTTAAATCCCGGAAATATATTAATAGAAGCAAGAAGAACACAAAGGAGAATTCTTCGCAATCAATTTGGTTTACGTGAAGATGACAGATAATTTTCACAGATAAACATGTTTTATTTTATCATTGTACACATTTAATGCGTCTAACAAACTTGTATAACATGTATTTTTATATATTATCTTTTTATAAATTGCGTATATATAATATATAAATATTTTTATATATTATAAACTCTTGTGAAAAAGAAACAAAAATAAAATATAAAATATAATAAACCTTACTTAATTCTTATGTTCTCTTATTAAAAACTTCAACCATTGTAGATAAACCTGTTACTGTTTGCTCATGCAAAGTTATGAATCTCTTAAAAAGTTCATTTTGTTTCGCTGTTGCAGATGCAATACGATTTAAAGTCCCAACCATTGTCTAGAATATAAAAATGTAATTAGAATATTATCCTAGTGCACGCGTATAAAATTAGCATACATCTACTAATATATAATTCTGAGGAAATAGAAAATGCACAAAGAAGTAAATTATTACTTACTTGCAAACATTCGTTCTGCTTGTCTTGCGTATGCCTGAGATAAATTTGTGTTTCATCTATCTTCTCACTTCTCACACGTTTTCCTATAAAACGATATGTTTATACATATATCAAAATATATATATTGTAAGTTTGTTGTACTTACTGCTATTTTTGGGTGTAGTTAGTATATTTGATGTTAACAATGGTTGTTTCGAGGCTGTTTCCGAGGTTTGAGATACAGCCCAAATAGCACAAAAACATTCCATTAACATTCTAGGAATATACGCCAAGAACATTCGAAGAATTCAGGAATCTTCTAATAGTCGTTTTATACGTTCGAGGCATATTGCTTCCTCATAGAGGAAGCTTCGTTTTCATGCGAAAAATTTTTTTCCAGTTTTCATTGCCAATGTGTTTAGAATGTTTTAAAAACTCAAAAAACAATTTTTAAAAAATGTATGTGTGTGTGTGTGTATGTGCACAAAAATTGTTCGCGCTCTCACGTCCGCAATTTTTGAGATATCGCCTTCTACTTTGGCACATTTCTTGAGTGTGATTACGAGATCGCTGGTATTGTATTTGACGATAATCGGTGCAACGGTTCACTTTATACATACATATATATCTATATTTTCGTTGAAATTCCCGAATAACTTTTTAAA